CTTCGTCGCAATATCAAGACCACTCGTCCTTGTGACAAGTTGGACTATCAAAGACTTGGACCATTTTCTATTTCTGCACAAATCAATCTATTTGCATAATGTTTACATCTATCGAAGTCAATGAAAATCTATCCAGTATTCCACGTGTCTCTTCTTGAACCATAGAAGATAGTGAACATACCAAGAAGACGACAAGCTCCACCTCCTCCTATAAAAGTGGACAATATTGAAGAGTTTGAAGTTCAAGAAGTCTTAGATTCAAGGCGGGGCCAAAATAAATTGGAATATCTTATCCAATGGCACGGATATGATACTAGTGAATTCACATGGGAGCCAATAAAGAATCTTGCAAATGCAATAAAGACGATATAGGCGTTTCATCAACGACATCCACCAAAATCAAGATAAAAATCTTCTTTATAAAAGAAACAACATTTAGGCAAGATAGCATTCTACTTTCAATCCTTGTTTGTAACTTCTTTGTAGTTGTGACGCTCAGGAGATGGAGAACCAACAATCAGCGAATTTGACTCAAGAGCCTTCATTTGTTGACCTGTTGGACGAGACATTATGATTGTCACAACCTTCAAGACGATGCAATCAAGATGAAGATCTTCAAGAATGACATGTTCTTCCTCGAATAGATGGCAAGATACAATGCGTTTGATATCACGATTTGGAAAGGGACTCACGATGTTTGGTGATTTTGGTAGAGGTAGGAACAACTCCTGATGGTGTTCCAAATGTTCTATTCAAAGGAAGTTATGAAGGCCTCAACAATGATCAAATAACTGGATGGTCTTTCCGCCCTAATATGGGACACTACCGATGGTTGAGAGGCCCTAACAATCATCTTCAAAGAGAACAAAGATCAGAGTATGTGGCAAATACGATTTGTCGCATCACAGATTTTCTCAACATATGATGACTGCTCCTCATGGAACTCGTTCCTAGAAAGGGGGGTAATGTCACAGACATACTCATGTAAGCTAGTAATTACATATACAAATAGGTGGAAGTAAGTAAAGGTAGGAAAAAGTAAGTTAATTCTATAGTATTTAATATGGAAGCTTCTTAGAAGCTTTATAGACACTGCTTTGACTTCATAGGTGTCTTTAATTGACTTTTTGGATTAGAAACGTGGTCAACAAGTTAGCCATGTACCACACATGTTGTTAGCTTGAAGATCAAGCTAACTATGTGGCCCATACGTAAAAAAACTTGCCTTGTAAGTCAAGGCATGTGTCCTACAAAGTCAACACATATTGGAGGTCCTATAGAACGTTGCCACATAGTCCCTAATTAGATAGTATATATAGAGACAAGAGTGAAGCCTTCTTCACTCTTATCAATTTCTTTCTTGCTTCTTGTCTAGTTTCAAGGGTCTCTAGTTTTCTTGTCTTTTGGCAATAGCCATTCTAGTTTCTCTTTCAATATACATACTTGTTTATTTATATTTTGTTACGTTTCTTGGAGTGAAGGCTCACTTGTCTGAATTACTTTTTCATTGAGTTCTTGTCCTTGACACTTGCTTAGATTGCAGTTCCATTGACTATAATACTTCAAGTTATAACAACAACAACTAAAAATTTTCATGGACCAGATAAGCAGCTATATAAGAAGAAAGCTATCATACTGACTAATCATGGTATTATTTTTCAAGAAATTGTCACTCATCCTATGGGACTACCAATTCATGATGATATATCCATGCATAATGTACCTTCAATTCCTGTGAAACACAATCTTGGAATTGGAAGGAATAAGAATAAGTTGAGTAAAGAATTATCTATTTTGTATTGTGCTACAAATGATATTTCAAACAAACCATCTATTACTGTAGATGAATCATTTGCATGTATGATTATAGAAGCCCTTTCTTGCGAGGAAGACGATTCTAAACTTCAAACCATTCATGAGACGATGCGTCACTCTGATTGATCAAAATGAAAAACTGCTATTGAGAAGGAATATGCTTCTTTGCATAAGAAGAAAGTCTTTGGTCCAATAGTAGACACTCTTACATCTTGCCTTGTGGGATATAAGATGGCATTAATATGCAAGCAAGATGCTCAAGGTCAAATAACTCGCTATAAAGCTCATCTTGTTGCTCAAGGATTTACTCAATGATTTGGTATTGATTATGAATCTATATATTCTCCAGTCATGGATTCAATTATATTTTGATATATTATTAGAATGGTAGTTCATGTCACCCTTGAGATACATTTCATGGATGTAGTAACTGCATATCTATACAATTCTCTTGATACAAATATTTATATGAAATTTCCACTTAGCTTAAAAACAGGAACTCCAAATGGACCTACTTTAGAACAATATTGTAGTATTAAATTATATAAGGCCTTGTATGGTTTAAAACAATCCGAACGCATGTAGTATCAATATCTTTGAGATTATTTAATTGTACATGAGTTTGTAAGTGATCTACTAATTAATGTTTATTTATCAAACAAGATAAAACTGATTTTGTCATCATCGTTGTATATGTTGATGATCTTAACCTAGTGGGCACTAATTCTGCATATGTTGCAGCTATTAACCTACTTATATGTGAATTTGAGATGAAAATATTAAAAAAAATAACTTTTTGCATTGGTCTTCACATTATGCATCTAATAGATGGTAGCATTTTTTTCTACTAACTAACGTAAATTAGACGAATCTTGCAAAAATTTAATATGTTTGCTACTTATTCATTGTCGATACTAATGGTTGGACATAGTCGTGATGGTCATGATCTATACTATCCATATATAGAAGAGGATGAAATATTAGGAGATCAATATCCATACCTTACAGCAATTGGAGCATTTTTATATTTGGCTACATCTACAAGACTAGATATTACATTTGTAATTAGTGTTCTTGGAAGACATAATACATGCCCAACACTACGACATTGGAATGGCATCAAATATTTATTACGTTATTTAAAAGGTAATGAAGACTTCGGATTATACTATACACAATTTGTAGATCCAAAATTAGTTGGATATTATGATGCATGATATAAATCTGATATTGCGATAGCTTAATCTCAAACAGGATATGTATTTTTAAGACATAGAATTGTAATATCATGGAAATCAGTGAAACAAATAAAAACTGCAACTTCATCCTACCATGCAAAAATTATTGCCTTACATGAAGCATCTCGAGAATGTATTTGGTTGCAATCAATTGATAAATTCATTCAAATAACCTATGGATTTTCATATGATTATTCTTCAACTATCTTGCATGAAGATAATAGTGCTTGTATTGCACAGATACAAGTTGGTTTCATTAAAGGCGACAAGACAAAGCATATTGATCTAAACTATTTTAGTTATATCCATGACTTGATTACTGATCAAGCACTTATAATTAAGAAAATTGAATCTGCATATAACCTTGCTAATCTCTTCACCAAAGCTCTCCCATTATGCAACCATCGTTGACTTATTTATGGCATTGGTATGTGGCAACTTGCTTTTCTTGAATAAGAAAGTTAATGAGCTCTTCAAATAATTAAGGAAAATGATGTTGTACTCTTTTTCTTTCATCTATGATTTTGTCTTTAAATACAATAAGGTTTTCTTAGATAAGGTTTTAATGAGGCAACAATTGTTGATCTTACAAGATTACAGAAAAGTATAGATCATAATTCTATACAAATTTTATATTATGTAAATATTATGATGAGTGAGGAGGAATGTTGAGAGCATTAAATGTAGCCTGTGCTCTCTATAATGTTTACTATAGACTATAGTAAATACCATAGCTATAGTATTTGGAATGTAGTGGAAAAGAATTGTTTATCCTCTCCCCTTTCTCCTCTTGTATACTAGACACAACCAGATCAATAGATTTTTATGTGTGAAACTCTCTCTCCTTAAAAACTATTACTTACTATTACTCTTGTGTGAGTGTTACTTACTACTACTCTTGTATCTTTCTAAACATTTATGGATTGAGTGTATCAGGATAGATGCATAATTGCCAAAGAAGCACGAATGCTATCAACATAACGAAGCATTCGTCTCACGGAATCCGCCAACAGCGTCGTCACCGTGACGCTTCTTGCACGGGCTCCCAGCAGCCGATCGACCCACAGGCGCGGAACGTGGCATGCATCGGCGAGGGAGAGATCGTCTCAAATAATTGCGGGATGCCCAATCGAGTCTGGGTGGATCCGGTATCACGACCCAGTTCGTGCTGCAATCCCGTTTTGAAAACTCAATGGGCATAATTCTTAGAAAGTCCTGGTGCGCCTTGGGATGCTCTCATTGGTGTCCAGACCTCACTTGAACGCCATCTGATGTACAAGAATGTCGAGATTGTTCACGCTTGGTTTGGAGTGAGCATGGGGACCAGGTTTTTCTCCTTTATAAAAATCGAGGTGCAGCCGAATCAGTGGTGCGATGCATGCGGGAAAAGTGTGGTCGAGTTCGCTGAGATGTAGACGATTCGAAGACATGTACACTCTACGGAAAGAGGCTTTTATTTTGGTCGGGCAGTGGCGAATTCCTTGAGGATTCCTACTTCCGCTGACATCTAAGCGTTTTACAACTGCTTCGTGGACACCGTTGCGTTTCCTTTGTGATGAGTCTTTCATTGGTGCTACAAGAGAAAGTTTTTTTAAAAAACAAATAAAAAATGGTTGAGAATTCTATCGATTGCGTCCCGGCGTTCATCCGCTAAGTGTTTGTTGCCTGGAGTCATCGATTTCGACGAATTCAGTAGTGCTCGGTAATATCTAAACGATGGACCAAGTCAACCTTGTCCAGGTTGTGAAACGATGCAAGCAGGGAATAGGAACGCGTGGCGTGCAAAATCCATCGTTGCTGCGACAGAAGTTCGGATATGGACGACGATTAAGACAATCGCTATGGATTCTGTTGGGTGTGAGGCGTGCCGACCCCACGCACTGCGTGATTGCCCCTGCTTTTTGATATTTTTACTCCGTACCGTTAATGCCCAGTCTTTGTGAATCTCGGTGGCACTGCATTGCAATGGGAGAGGAAGTTGAATTGTCGACTCTTGTCGCCCATGGGATCCGTTGCAATTTGAAATTGATGAAAGCTCGGTGTGGGCGTGTAATTACATTCCACATCCAGCGATGGTGGATAATGGTCTTGCTCATTAACTGAGCCGGCTGACTGCCTGCGTGTCTGGCTGCTAGGGCTTTATTATTAGTGGTGATGCACCGGGTTTGTGGGACTGTTTCGTTGATGAGACTTATTGAGCGGTTTCAAGAGCTTGCGGGTGACGGCGGTCGAGAAAGTGTTGAGGGCGACGGAGGAAGGGAGACGTGTGGGGTTAGTTGTAGTCTTTGGGGCTGGGAAGAGTTGTTGGACCATTGCTGTTACATGCCGCTTCTCCTTTGTCACTATCATGCACGGATTTGGTGGTGGGCACCTCGATCATCGGCTCACGTTTGAACTTCGTATACCGCCGATGGCTGGCTAGACTCCAGATATGTCAGATTGAGCAACCCTGGTGTGTCGAGTATGAATCAGATCTGAAGGTTTTGACGATTGTGTGTTTCTTTGCGTTTTCTGTTGAGTTGGTGGGTGTTTTGAGGAAGTATGACAATGGAGAGGCTCTGATCACTCGGTTTGTGATGGTGCAGCTGAGAGGATGAGTAGAGATCACGAGTCGGTGCGAGATAGGTGTACGATCCAAATTCTGTTTCCGCGAAGGGTGTCAACCCTGTTTGAAGAGCTGCTTTGAGTGGAAGGCAGCGTGAGGTTCTGTTGGATTGTAGTGTCCTGTATCCATGGCTACTAGAGCTATGGTGTCGTTGGTGATCCTACTCTTCCTGTCGTGTGCACCGCTCGTCCCGGCTCAAGTGCCAAGTCCAGCTCCTGCCGTGTTCACCCCTGTTGCACCGCCACCCGCCAAGGTCACGCCACCCATCGTCTGTACACTTCCGAACACCACAATGATCTCCCCCAACTACTGTAATGCCCATGACGAGCAGAGCATGGAGAATCAGACAGCAGTCTGTGACGGTTTCCTGACAATGTCCGTGGACATTCCTAGTGCAGAGTGTTGCACAGGTCTGAACAATGTCGCTTACAATCGCACCGCATGCATCTGCAAGAAGGCTTTCTATCCACCCACAAATCACAATGCGTCTCGGCAGCTAGGTCTCCCCAGGCTCTGTGGCGTGCGAACAGATCTATGCGGCCAGTGTCCCATGTTCACAGTCCCCAGTGGCTCCGGAGATTCTTCCAATCTAACTCGTAAGTATCAGTGGAGAAAATACTTTACTCTTTCGGTTACAGTATTAATCGTCTTGTATTGCTGTTATCTCGAACTCCATTGCATTCAACAGAGAATTCTAGTCTTTTCTTTTGTGGGTATCCGTCATGCTTATTCGTGTAAAGGATTGAACAACCTTCAGCATAGTTGTATGGCGATGAGTTGAATATTGTTGCACGAGTCGACAAGAATTTTCGTCACATGATCTCTCCGCCGGGTACCTTTGTTTCTTAATAATTTCATATAGACGTTTTGTCTAACTGTGATAGTATTATTCTTCAGCCACTATGACTTCTACAATCAATTTGTTCCCTGATAGCATGAATGACATTGTGGTATGAGGTCTTGTCCAGTAGTACTTGGGTTTAGCTGAACAAAGGGGGATTCCATCTACAAGGGAATCATGATCTCTTAGTCCTTAATGCCCTGTTTTTTTGGACAGCTTCTGCAAAAGTATTTCAATCGTGCAGTGTTCCTTTCTTTAGTCATTTTTTGACAACCTAGTATCCTGAATTTTCGCCTTCCCAGCTGCTAGTGGTTTGTTATGTTGAGCCGAATTACGGCGTCACAGAGACTCCGCTTTAGTACTTTTTTTTTAATTTTAGGGTCAATATTTGAGTTAGAATGTCAACATGCAGAGTCCCTGAAGGTCACCCCAGTCTAATCTCATTCTGCTGCCCTAATTCTAATGCCGTCCCAAGTCTGACTCCGTGATGATGATTCTCTGTGGCGCTGTTTGTGAAGCTCCCACACCTCGCCTGGCAGAGACGTCAACAGCTTCCACAGTGGGCGCGATTTCTATGGCGGTCATTTTTGGGGTGCTCCTGGTAGGCTTCATCGTCTTCTTCGGCTTAATGCTTATCAGGAAGCGAAGGGAAAAAAACAACGCCGCGGCGCCTTTTCAAGCCCCTCCACCAGGTGGGGCATTTTGAGTGACCGGTGTCTGAAGGTACTGCTCTTAATATGCACCTCCTCATTTAAATGAAGCAAGCGCTCAATCAGTGGCTTGTGCATTTGTCAAGCTTTTGTGGGGAACTCAATCACTTCTGCTCAGGAGGAAACAATGTACCAGGATTCCAAATGGATCCCTACAAAGATCCAACCTCTCCTCTTCCGGATCCGCAGATTGCTTGTGGCTCTGCCAGCATCCACTTAATGCTCAGTTCGCCATATCCTTACCGCAAGGAAGTATATGTGTCCGGTTACAGACCAGCCATGTAATCCCTCACAACCAGTTTTGCACAAAGCAGCATATAGCTCGTATGTTGTTGAGATTCTCCCTCATCTTTTTCCTACATAGATCATTCCTGTCCCTTTCTCACACTTCTGAGGCAGTGATTGGTGCCCGGCAGCTACACCCACTCTCGAGAATCCTTGAGTGAGACCATTTGAACTGAGACCAAGTCGGGGCATCTCTGGATTCATTTGCACCTTAGCGATGAGCACATTGAATGCCTCGAATCGGCAGAAGCTGGTATTTGAGGTCTTGCCTGGTAGCCGCAGCAGGACGAAGCTGCCCCTTACAGCATATCTGTGTTGTGTAGAGAAGAGGTTATCCCCTCTGATCATCATGTTTTTGTTCCGACCAACTACTTCAATGTAATGTTTGAATCTATTCATGACATCCCTTTTCTACTTCCAGCGTTCAGCAGTCTTTGGATTCGAGATCCTTTTCGTAGTTTCATGCCTTAGTCTCCAGCTTTAAGATAAATGCATGCCTGTAAACAATGTGTTTGCGGGTGCGTCTGTTTTATGATTAGCTTTTGCTTTTGTTTTGTGAATTGGCTTTGTGCTATTCTTTTAAAGTAGTGAAGCGCAGAATTATATGAAAGTGCTTTGGTTTAATAAACTTAGCGTAACTTGTTGAATCAAAATCCTGAGGTTGTAGGTAACGAAAATGTAGGAACATCAATTGCAATTGTTGATGGGAGGATTGCATACTGCACCTTCCATGCTTACCAAAAAATTTAAAATCGTGTTGAACACATGCCAGGGGTTATACATTAACAACCTTATAAATCACATGTCGAGACAAAAACATTAATAGTCGTGCAATTTTTCTAGTCCAAGAAACTTTTGAACATGAAATGCAACGAAAAATACCTTGGTACTTTGGATGCTGAGGAGGCGACATAATACAGATGATTGACAACCTAATACATCAATCACACCTTTATTCTGTAATTAGCACTTTTTTGAATACAAGGATCATTTGCTTATTTAGTTCCGGATTTCATAACGCAAAGCTGAAGAATAAACCCGAAAAATTCTAAGGTCAAAGCACAAAGTATGATAATGTGTTTTCAAATATCGCTTATGAACTTGTTCACCCTAACTTCGAAGAGTGATGAGTTTGTTTTTAGATGTGTCGACGTTCAATATACTTCTCCCATGAATGTTAATCTTTGGTTTTGACTGGAATAGTTGGCATATTTTAACAAAGATTCATTTCATGACAACTTTTTGTATCTCCTGTACTTGCTACACTAATTTCAAATCACCAGCATTGGAATAGAGGTTTTAAAGTGGAGACATAGATTGGAGAATAGACTTTGGAGAATCTTGCCATGAAAAAGAGTCCCTTGTGTAGCAATTTTCCGAAAAATGTATTGACTTCATGGAAATTTATATTCTTCCTTTACAATAGGATGCTGCCGAAGCAAAATGGAGGTCCAATCCAGTATAAAAATACTAAACCACATATTTCTACAATTTTTTGCCCAATCCATTGTCTTCACGACCACAGGTGTCTTCCTTAGTTTGATTTCAAATTACATTTTAACACTATTATAAATATAACACTTGACCCCAATGGTAAACAACCAATATTGAGTAAGCATGAACAAAGACAAAGTGATTGAGGATCCAAACAACAACAAGCTAAGAGAAAGAGTGAGACCATCCATAGTGGCAATCAAAGAAACGGAGCTGAGCCCAATCGATCACGAGCTGCGTGGTCGATCGATCTCACTTCATGATCAGTCCCACGAAGACTCCACACGCATCGTGCGAGTCTGGAAGGATATGCACAGCGAGATCGATCAAGTGTGGCAGATTCGGTGAATTGTGGGTGGTGATCAGATACGCCAACCACACGAGCTTGCACCAGTCTTTCAGTGCCGTGAGCTGGGTCTGTCTCGTGACCGGAACCGTGATCGATCCACGCCAACGTCGTGCTCGGTGCGGATCGAAGCCTTGACGATGCCGTGACTGATATGGACAGCACGTGCAGCTTGGCAATCTGGGGAAGAAGATCTCCCGGCAGGTTCATGAAAGTAACAGCGATTGACCGAACGGAGGGTTTGGGGTAGGTGCCGGCAGCCAAGCTCATGACTGGGCTGCATGTCTCCCTCTCTGACTCGATCCCATACCGTTGACTGCTTCGACGGTTCATGAAAATGGTGGTGAGGGTGTGGCCGGAACTTATTTCCATCACACATAGTACGTTGTTGCAACACTAGGCAAGGCCCTGTTCTCGCAGACTTGCTTGCAGGCGGTGTTCTTCATCCTTTGGCGACGGCGAAGTGAAAAGCTGGAACGTGGAGGGCATTTGAAATGCGTGTGAAACGATTCCCTTGTGTCGGTTTCGTGCGACGATCGTTGGATTCGCTTTAAAGGATCGATCAAGGAGGATTTTTGCCATGGCACTACTGCGGTTTCTGAGGCTGGAATTCTGCTCCAGCGAGTTCGTGTTTCTGGTGTTCGCGTTTTTGTTCCTTGTACCAGTGTCGGGACTGAAACGACAAGCCGCATCGGTAAACGAAACTGTAACTTTCAATGTCCTCGTAATGTCTAAGTTGAGACCCGATTCAAGTGGTCAGGCTTTCGAGGAACGAGCTGCGAGTCAAGTGGCAGCACAGAATGTTTCGCACGCCACTGCGCTTGCGAAAATCGTTCACAGGTATCGTTCATCACTTCTATCGGATCGGTTGCCCGGCAGCAATGATTTTTGTAAATCACGCGTTAACGCACACTCAGATGGCGATGATTCTGTGTGTGTACTGACAAGGGTGCCGCTTAACCTGCAGGAATTCCTTATCCTCCTCTGTCCAACATATAAACGCAAGCCGGCAGGAGCTAATGATCGAAACCATCTTGCGAGACGAAGCCCGATTCAGCTCAATTCTGATGCAGATTAATCGCCCAGTGAGTGGGGAGGTGAGGGGTACTCACAAACTCCACGTCGACCAACACCAGAGGAAAACTCCAGCGCAGGATTTTGAAGCGCCGATCTTCTCCGGATTAGCCTTCGGCACTGGAGAATACTTCGCAGTGGTTGGTGTGGGCACACCTCGGCGTGACATGTACCTCGTCGTTGACACGGGAAGTGACATCACCTGGCTTCAATGCGCCCCCTGTACCAATTGCTACAAGCAGAAGGATGCTCTGTTCAACCCTTCCAGCTCGTCGTCATTCAAAGTCCTCGACTGCAGCTCCAGTCTGTGCTTGAACTTGGATGTCATGGGATGCCTGTCAAACAAGTGCCTCTACCAGGTTCGCGACCAACATGCTCTGAAACCAAGCTCATGAACAAGGCTCCCTGTCGGGTCAACCCAATTATTCTGACTTTGCTGTTATGTGGGATTGCAGGCTGATTACGGCGACGGCTCTTTCACCATGGGAGAATTGGTCACCGACAATGTGGTGCTAGACGACGCGTTTGGGCCGGGTCAAGTGGTCCTCACAAACATACCTTTGGGATGCGGTCACGACAACGAAGGAACATTCGGCACCGCCGCGGGGATCTTGGGGCTTGGTAGAGGTCCTCTATCCTTTCCCAACAACTTGGATGCGTCGACCAGAAACATCTTTTCCTACTGCCTTCCAGACAGAGAAAGCGACCCAAATCACAAGTCGACGTTGGTGTTTGGCGACGCTGCAATCCCACACACAGCCACAGGCAGTGTCAAATTTATTCCCCAGCTAAGGAATCCTCGCGTCGCAACGTACTATTACGTGCAGATAACGGGCATCAGCGTTGGCGGCAACCTGCTCACCAACATCCCAGCGTCTGTGTTCCAGCTCGATTCGCACGGGAATGGTGGCACCATCTTCGACTCCGGCACCACGATCACGAGATTGGAAGCAAGAGCATATACAGCAGTCAGGGATGCGTTTCGTGCCGCGACAATGCACTTGACATCCGCGGCCGACTTCAAAATCTTCGACACGTGCTACGACTTCACGGGCATGAATTCCATCAGTGTGCCAACCGTCACGTTCCACTTCCAGGGCGATGTCGACATGAGGCTCCCGCCTTCCAATTACATCGTCCCGGTGAGCAACAACAACATCTTCTGCTTTGCGTTCGCTGCTTCCATGGGCCCTTCTGTCATCGGCAATGTCCAGCAGCAAAGCTTCCGGGTCATCTACGACAACGTCCACAAGCAGATCGGACTCCTCCCGGATCAATGTTCTTGAATCAACCTCTTCCACTGCAGTGACTCTCAACGGAAGATTGTTACAGTCTTGACACTAGTGAGCAACGCCTTTTTGTGAGCTTGATTGGGTTCACTGCTACGATTCTACCCCGTACCATTGTGCACATAAACCAACATTCAAGCTGCTTAGAAATACCAAACACGAAACCGAACGACCTTGTTTAAATTCGAGCCACCCACATTGACAGACGTGCAAAATGGCTGGCAGAATTAGATCCTGAAAAAAGCCATGCAATCAGCACGTTAATTTGGAGAGCTATGAAATGCTTGCAGATTATCACGTCCGTGGTGAGAGGGACGAGGCGACTCCGAAAGGCTTAGAACAATCCAACAATGTGAACTACTCCCAGGAAGAGTTAGAAACTTATTCCATTCCAGTCACTGAGCTGAAAAGTAGTTCTTTAGCAATTTGTCACCTCCTTTTAGAAAAAGCCTTTCACAATACATTCTTGAGTAATATTTCTTTTTCTACTACTTTTCTGGATGTGCTGTGAAGCAATGCACATTAGTCAGCATTTTGGAACCGAAAGATGTGGCTTTTGGCCTTTGCAAGTAGAAGTTAATATTTAGTTGCTTATTCTCTATCAATCTGGCACACCTCAAACTTGCATCCTCTAGTTTGAAGTGTAATAGAGGATGTCTAGAAAGTTTTAATTTTCTAAAGTAGAATTTTGTCACATGGTTATTCATATGCAACTTTCTTTAACCTTTTCAACTTTTCTAATTCATCATTTTCTGGACATATTTCACCATTTCATAATCACTACAATTTCATGTATATTTTTATTTTTCTAATGCAATGAAGGTACAAAAAGAGATAAATCAAGAGGCTATCTAAGTTATTGTTCTATTAAAGTATATTATTTAGTTAATTTTTTAAAAAGAAAATATTCTTGATTAAAATGTTTCTTAGTTGAAACTAAAATACATAAACGATGGATGTATAAGAAATAGGAATCTTCAATCAATTGGTTTGGTTTTAAAAATAAAATACTATAAAAGATTAAATATATAAAAGAAAGTATACAAATAAGTAATTTGATAGATCTTTATAATAATACATAATTTTGAAAATACCATTAATTATATTAATAAATTATACATCTAAATAAGTATTCTAAAAAATATAGAATATGAATTCTTATATAAACTTTTAATTGTTTTTTTTTCTTTTCTTTTCTTTTAGGATTAGTTTTGAAAAACATAAAAATATAGTACTACAATAAATTTATTAAAAGATAAATACAGCAAATCATTTTATGTTTAGTTTTTAAAATTATAATCCTATTATTATTAAAATTAATCTAAAATTTAATTAGAGATTAAGAATTTAGATTCTTAATATTAACATCTATTATTAATTTTTTGAAAAAACTTACATAAATTTTGTTCTAAAGGCAAATCATCTTAATTCTTGTAACTATAATATATCCACATTATCAAAATAAGCTTCATTTATCTATAATTTTAATTAGCTTCATTTATTCATTCTACCTTTCCATTGTCTAATTTGTTATATACTAAAACACTACTTTGGTGCTTGGTTGTTACAAACAAAGAATATAGCTCTTAAAAATGGATGCATATATGTAAGTGATTCTAGAGTCATGATTTATATCATGATATTAGTACAATTCTAAAAGAAAGCTTAGCAAACTACATTACTTCTAGATAGTTATTAGCATCATTAAGCAATGTTCTTATAAATAATATCAAAGAAAAAAAAGAATACAAAGATGGCAAATAGATCTTATTATGGAGTATAGAAGTCAAACAAGCTCAAAGGCTTGACAAATTATTATGTCTTAGAAGCTGAAGGTCTCTAGTCTCTTATAAAAACCAAAAATAAACTTATTATTTTTTATAGCTACAATTGATGGTGAGGCAATTCCAAAAACTATTTTTAAAAAGAAGAAAGGTAAAATGTGTAAGATACTTATTATATTAGTACAAAATGATCTTATTGATGCTATGGAAACATGAATTTATCTTATAATTGCTTAGAAGGCATTGAAGGATACATTTCAACAAGGAAATTAATCTTAGGTTCTCTAATTTATAAGAAAACTACAAAATATTAGACTAAAGAAGGAGGCTTGATAAAAGGCTACTTGAAGAAGTTTGATATATCAAAAATAAATTGATATGCATAGGAGAGAGAGTAAATAACCATAGAACTAACCATAGAATTTTTAGAATTTTTTATATTATCACTTTGTGATTCTTTTGGAATATCAAATAAATTTTAATCTAAAAATATACAATCTATAATAAAAATATTTAAAAAATATACAATTGCCTCTACTTACTCCTATCCATAGCTTACAAAGACCTATTTGTACAAATAAAATTATTAGACTAATCAACAAAATATATTCTTCAAGAATAAGCATTGCATCTATAAAATTGAAAGATTTTAGGATCCTAATTTTGGAGATTCTAGATGAATGTACATCATATCTAAAAGTAGTTAAGAACAATGAATGGATAGCAATTATGAAGAAGAAAATATCTTCAATTTTCAATTTTAAAAAAATAAAATGTAGATTATTTTAAAGATAAAGAATTAATTAAAAAAAATAATTATATAATTTAAAGAAAGATAATTTTAAAATTATAATTAAGTTAAAACAAAGATTGATGGTATGTGGTTTTAACAAACAAAGATTTAGATTTTTTTGGATATTTTTGCACTAGTTATATAGTAGTCTATTATACAAGATATTAGTGCACTATCTATAAAATTCAAATTAACAATAAAGCAAATAGAGATTGTTATAGCTTTCTTAAATAAACATATCAAAGATAAAGTACTTATAGAAATTCTACCAAGCTTTTTTAGATTTAAAATCTATTTAAAATATATAGACTAAATAGGACTTAACATACTTTGAAATAAGCATTGCAAGTATGATATTAAAGAATCAATTCTTGACTACTCAACTATAAATCATATAAGGGTGAGTTAGATTGAAATTTATATTATTTAATAGAGAATAGAAAGTATATTATTATTTTGATCTATGTGGATTGCATATTCATTACTAGTAATAATAAATAAAAAATTAAGAACCTCTAAAATAACTTAATAGCTAATTTTGATATGATAGAACTTATAGAAGCATTTCACTATTTAGGGACTAAAAGTATTCGTCATTCAACTCTAAGAGGTTATACATATATTAAATAGGCTATATTGATAAGTTATCAAATAAATTTGTAATTAATTAATAGAATACATTAAACTTACCAATAGACCTTGGATGAAGATTGAAAAGAACAACAAAAACCAAACAAATATGTATACAACTACATAAGTTAGAAATAAGCTACAAAACACGTCTTATATTATTTAAAGTAAATAGTTATTTTTTTCTATTTTAGATTGAATTTTTATCCAAAAATAATAATAATAATTGGATAAGATAGGAAAAATCACTTTTTTTCTTCAACACCAATATACTTCAAGAGTTGGAATGTCACATCAAGAAGATGATTTAATTCCAATTTATATAAATTAATCCAATCATTGGATTTTAGAAGAGTATTATTATAGCAAAGTATGTATTTTAAAAAGATTGAAAAGTAAATATAGAAGGAATCCCAATTAGAGCTACATAATAATAGAATGTAGTATGTAGATATTGCTTCATTTGAAGTGAGAGGAATCAATAGTCCTCAGAGAGATTTTTGACACAATAAGGATTGTTTGAGTGAAGAATTGTGACTTGATGGGATTATAAATGAATGTCAATTGAAAAAATTTGAGGATTCCATCATAGGAATCAATCCTACTTGTTATGTTAAGAAATATGAGGAATAAGTTAAAAGAACTTATCTATATGTACCCATATTTTTTAAAATTTATTCTATACTTTAAATTTAATATTCTATATATGATTTGACATAAATAATTTGATCAAATCTAGTAGCCAAGTTCCATATGCAATAGGTTTAGCTTTCATCATTCCAAATCAAAGAAATTATTGAATATATGCTTGACCTAGTTGAAATATTATTACCACACATTTGAACAAGATTGCTTTGATGCCTTTTTTTAATACTAATGATGCTAAGACCACCTTTACAAAATTTACAATAAATAGACCATGCTACTTTAAACAATACTAAGAAATAATATTTTTTTACAAAAAGAAATTAACCATAGATTTAAATTTTTGAATAGTCTTTACAAATTTAATCTAAAGAAATATAACAAGAAGAATAGAATGTTATTTATAATGATAGCTCAACTTGCCACATTGATTTTGGTAGAATATCAATAGTCTAATTTTTGTATCATTTTGTTAGAATGGTCCACATCGAATGGGCTCACTCACCAAGAAAGTTGTCTATAAACAAGCGCATTATCTTCCCCAACGGCATGTTAAGATTCTGTGCGTTGTTCAAAGGGTCGTCGTAGTAACCTCCTTTTCTAAGGGGTAGCACAACTGCTTGTCATTAAGACCAAACCACAATTCTACACAATGGTGGTTCTCGTATGAGAGCCCGTATGAGAAGATTCTCCTCACTTCGTTGGGACTTGCTTGCAGCGCCTGCTTCGATTAGGCGGTCAACAACACAATCGTTACTATGAAGTTCAATGAGACCAGGAGAAAGAGATCATCGTGAGGATGGTCGATTCAAATTACCTTGCCAAGCGTGACTCTTGTAGCGTTGACGGTGTATTATGCCACAATGGCAGACCAGGTGCACGATTTCGAGACATTGCTATACCGATTGACGCTGCTACACCCGCAGACCCTCCTTGCAATCGAGAAACTTGATTGTAACACAATTGTAGGAAATGAAAAACCTGCTGTTGCCCATGAGAACATGCCCATGAGGCCCAACTCGCTGTTCCTCTTCGTTCGGAAACAAATGTTCGAAAACAGTTTCGAGTATTTGGTGGTGAGGGGCTTCCCTGAGCCCGGCTCGAAAATGGTGGCCATGTACATGGGCCTGGCTTGTGTGTTCAAAAAGACGCGGTCGGAGTCATCCGGGTGCGGGATTAGATTCAAAAAGTATCCTTTCTGTGCATCTTCCAGCTTCGTCAGGCATATCCCAGCCGGAGGGTTGTGGACTATGAGCTGTGGAACCTTCAAGGGTGTCCCGCTGAAGCTGAAACTCGCTGTCATGCTGGACGGCGGCGCTGCGCCTACGGAGAATGTCTTGTCGTTGCTGTAAAATTTATTGAGCGCAGTTGAGGGCCTTTGAGCTACTGTTGCCAATGTATTGAAGACCAGGCTCGAATGAGAAGTTTGTGATGTTCACATTGGGAAGCATGGCATTGTGCTCGCGAACCAGCCGCCTTTCTCTCCAGAAGGTCAACTTTGCACGGGGAAGCAGCAGTCATGGGTCAGAGCACTTGCACTTGACGTCGGGACCGATCTTCTTGATCACTTCAAACCCCACCCATCCCTTCGTCCACGAGCAGTTCATCCCTGATCTTAACATCTGCCAAGAGTCGACCAAATCAAATGTGATTGAGCAAACAGGGTCCTAAAACGAAAGCACGCCAAGGAACGCACATAAGAGCTTGCAAGTTGTACTCCACAAATTGCAACCCTTCTCGTCTCATTGCTAGAAGCACAATGCCAGAATACCTTCAGCAAATCCATCGTAATTGACAACACTAGTGCGTTCCGGGAGGCTTTCCAATTTACGGACTGTGAAGATTTACTCTTCGCCATCCTGGTCGACAGAAGCAAAAATGAATAAACAAAAAAAAAGCACATTAAACAGAGATGATGCAGTTAAAGTCTAACAACAGATATCTTTGCTACTTCATAAACGTTAAACTCCCGGCCTCAGAAGTTCGTTTTAAGAAAAACACTTTCAGACTTCTTGGTTAAAACCTCGATCACATGTTTTCTAGAAATCCACTGAGGGCAATCATCTTCCAAGCCGTCAAGTTGAGTCAACAGGAGGATTTGCAATGAGTCGTCCTCATCGGGGGGCTGCACGTAAGCGACGCTGTGTGCATGTCTGTGCTTCACATGTTGCCGGCACAAAGTTTTATGCATGTGTCATGTATGTAACACCTCAAATTCTATCAAGTTTATATATATATATATATATACACATACAAGACCAGGCTACAAGCACATCAGTCCACAAGCATCCCAAGTTCCTATACACCCCAAGTTGCTATAGGCACATCCAAGTTCCTATACACCCCAAGTTGCTATAGGCACATCCAAGTTCCTATACACCCCAAGTTGCTATAGGCACATCCATTATGTCTATACACATTTAGACTACAAGCACATCCATTATGTCTATACACATTTAGACTACAAGCACATCCCAAATTGCTTTACATTCCAATTTGCTTTATATCCCAAATTGCAACACTCACACCCATTATGTCTATACACACTCAGACTACAAACACATCCCAAGTTGCTATACACCAAAATTGCCCCAAATTGCTATACACCAAAATTGCCCCAAATTGCTATATGCACACCCATTAGCGTTCTTGTAGCACATCAGTCCACATAGCATCCCGCAAGCTTCAGGCGCGAGTGCGTAAAAATGAATCAATTGATTGGTTTTTTTGAGTGCGTGATCACTATCCAGGTAACCCAAACCATATGTCGCTTACCACCCCATCGCCCGTGCATCCAGTCGGCCTTCCGCTAGTGATCACGCACTCGCGCCTGAAGACCCTACCCTCGCAGAACCCACGGCGCCTGCAACCGCACGCACCACCTGCTCCCCAACCCCGTTGCCGGAAGGCCAACGTCATGGTCGGGGGTTGATCCGATCGATGGGCTTGGTTGATGTACAGCCCAGTCAAGACCTGGTTCCGGACTCACACGGCCAACAGCTAGCGGTTGCGGGAATTTCGAAAAGGAAGGCGGGGCAAATGTAATGCAATTGGGCGGTAGGATTCTGCAGGTGCAGGCAGTGGAGCACTGGGATAGGTTCGAGCTCCAGTTTGGTTGCGTTCAGGGCGACAAGCGAGTGCAAGAAGGTGAGCTTTCCGTTGCTGCAAATGCTGGACTCCATGTCAGGTGCGCGTGGATGCTTGCACACCTGAGGTGCACCTTGGAGTTTGCGCGGTTTGCGCGCGCGAACTTCGACGTGCAAGGGCAGGGGGGGGGGGGGGGGGGGAGAGGGTAGGTCAAATTGGGATAGCGAGGACGAGATATCAGCGCCGATGGGCCCGGCGCTGCGGTAGCCTAGGTGCGGGAATTTGACAGCCGCCTCGATCATTTGGAAGAGCGCAACGCTCTTAACCTTGTGGTCCAGGGTTTGGGCCCTCTGGGGTGGCGCGCAATCTATGTCGAAACAGTTTTTAATTTATTTCACATTCCCCGCTTTCTGTTTTCTCGTTCCCTATGTTGAAACGCTAAACAATCTCAAAAAAAGATAGAAATTATTGAGTTCATTTGATTAAATTCGAGTAGGTGTGACAGAAAATTTAACACCATCAAAAATGTATCAACATGGGGCAGCAAATGAAATCGTTGACTTCAACTCGTTAAACCAAATTGCAACGAAAACAATCATACAAAGTAGCTGCATAATCATGGTAAGAAACAGAAGATATCACAACAGGTTTAATAATATACATTTGGAGTAAGAGAGGTAATCTCTTTAATAAAAGGTGTGAGAAATCAACTACTGGACTCTACACCATGTATTAAATTTCTACAATATGTGATGCGTATCACACTTAGTTGACCAAATTGTAACTGGAAATTACGAAGACAGTTAGAAAGTCTTCTTCCGAGTTTATATGCTGGACAGAAATGGCTCGTTAGATTAACATAAATTACTTGTGAAATAAGCATCCAACTGATACCAGGAAAGTGGAGATGCAAAAGAGGTACGAATTGCCCTGGTTTCAGCAAGAGATTCAGCAAATGAATTAGTACATCATGTCTACCTGGAATGTAGAAACAATTGTAGAAATCAGACTTAGATTAACAGTTTGCAGAATCTTAGCGAGGAGAATGCACAATAACAAGCAGTTTAATTATGGAGAAAACCCTATCTGAGGGCAATGTTCAATTGCAGTAGTTGCAAATACATCTGATGAACCTTATGAATAAACACTCTTCCATAGCATTGGTTCCCAGACGGCTGATCAGAAATCTCATCCTATGCCCAAGTCCGACCAGATGCAGCATGCATGCGTGAACAAGTACAACTGGTCACCTGGACCAACCCCGCAAGAGGTTTCGATCCTCATCCTCTCTACATCTCCAAAAAGCGTTGCTGTCTCTGCGAATACAACAAAGAAATCTGTGAGTGCGTAACCAAAGCATTTTTCACATTTCGACAGCACAAAGAAACTTCATAAAGATACTCAATGAAGCGAATTTTTCCATGACACAGAAAACCCCAGGCGAAGCCGGCACACGACGCGGAAAGAGCGTGTGCAAATTCTCTCTACTGCCACAAATCTCCTCCTCTAAAAACTATAACAAGCTTTTCGAAAAAAATTCATAAACTCAACACATTCACCCTTAAACCCTAAGACAGAGGGCTCAAACTCCTTTGATCAGAACGAACAAAACGAAAGTATGGCCACATCTGCTAACCCGAAAGAGAAGTGGCGCTAAAACCACGTCTACTTCATCTTAGCTTCAGTGAAGAGCACATGCTTGTTGACGACGGGATCATATTTGCGCATCTCAAGCTTAGTGGTGAGCTTCCGGGGATTCTTCGGCTTCACGTAAAAGAACCCGGTGCCTGCGGCGGAAATGAGACGCACCAAAATAGATCCTCCCTTCGCCTTCGCCATTCCTGCTTCCGGACGTGCACAATTGCGAGCACAATACTTTTAATTCTATGATCTACGATTGAAACTGAAACTCTAAAACCCTAAACCCTGTTGCATTGAAGACCTCGAAGGCAGCTATGGCGTTACTAGGTCATCGCCGAACTTGCCCTTCTCGTTGACGTAAAACATCCATTTCTAAGCTTTTCATTCTTTTTATATGATTTATCATTCATCCTTTTCGTTCTTCGTGTTCTTGACTTTCCTCGTGAAAGTGGTGACCTGCTGTTGCAGGTCGCTTGGAAATTGGTCTTCAGAATCGTCAAATTAGGTTTTACATATCGCATTGTGTTTCAGTTTGGCTTGAAATCTAAACATTTCATGCTATCAAACATCTATTTATTCTAATATCACGATTTTTTAAGTTAGAAAATGGTTGACATGTAAATAAATTTAATTAAAGTCCTCTATCAAAACAAGTAACTAAGATTATCAGCTCAATTTATTTTATTAAATACTATAAGGGTTGTTTATTGAACTTTTAGAAATTTCATGTAGAACTTCTTTATTTTGATTTTCTTTCCAAAATTTATACTTTTTTTGGTTGACTTCAAAAGATATGTTAAAGAGACATGGAAATTTTTATTTTAAATTTTTGAAAAAGTTTTCAACACCAACATTTCAATATATTTATTGTCTTTACAAATTTTTATTCTGTGAATACTGCGAGTTAAATATTTAATCACAAGTTCATGACAAAAAAAAAAAAAAAGAAAAAAGAAAAAAGAAAGAAGAAGTTCACTATGTGTTATTTTTGTAACTTTAATGCCATAGATCAATATTGTGTGACAGATTAAATTTTAAAGCTCGAAATTATAAACATGATCGGTATAACAATAGAATCAAAATCAGAATTTATTGTGTTATATTCCACTGAAAATAAGAGCTGTTTATTATCAATTACTAATATTAGCATAAACAATATAAGAATATAATAAAAATATCAATAGTAGTCCAACAGTTTTTTTGATTATATTTTTACTAGCAAGAAAAAATTAAAAATTGATAAAAATACAAATAAACAACTTATTTAAGTTTATGTACTGATTTGTTATAAATAAATCAAACTACATTAATAATTTTGTTATCAAATATGTACTAACACTTGTTTTTGAGATAGTATAGAAAAAAAAAATAACAAATCACAAATATTTGGTTTGAAAATGAAGAATTACAAAAATAAAATGAATTCATCAGCCAAATAAACTCCAACAATATATTTTTATGGATATTTTTAAAATTCAAACCGAGCCATACTATACACAACTGAAACTGATGAACAAGACTTGGATATTTTGGTTGGTAAATAACACATGAGTAATGAACTTACACTTCATTATCTTAAAACACTAAAAAGATGGGAGCTAAAAAAATGCTTATTTTTAAAGAAATAATGAACAATAAGAATGGTGAAAACTAAGCTTGTCGTCTTCAACTCCTTGTTAGATACATCTCGTTGATTCCGTATTAAAAACAGAACAAATTTAGACATTACCGACATTCATGTTAATTATAGATGTCCATATAAACTTCATTCATTCAACCTGAAATCACACAAACAAGATGTGACAAATAACAAAACAAAAATTAAACAAATTTTGAAAAATCGCAGGCAATCCAATACTTTAAGTATTGAGTGGTCCTCTACAAAAACATGATGACCTTTTACACACTTATTTAAAGTTTCAGAGGGAAAAAGAAGATCACCAAATCCCACAAGAAACACTACAAAACACAAGTGGAATTAAGTTCCAAAGAAATATATCAGGAAAAAAAAAAAAAAAAAAAAAAAAAAAAACACTTATCACCAAAACCCAATGCAGTGCACATGCATGCAGCAAAGAAAGAGTGTAGGCCGACAATGTCGTTAATTTAGAAGCTTGGACTAGGAACGGGCTTCAACCTCTTTTCCCTGTCCTGCATTGGAAAATACATGCTGGGGTTGAGAAATTTATTTGAGCCGTCCGGGTGAAAGAGTTGATGATTAGTGAGGTGGAGGTCATTTTAAGTACCAAAAATGATGGGGAGAAGACTGCAATCCCGATCAGTCTTGCTCACGTGTTGGGTGTTGGGTGTTGGTAGCCTCACGAAGACGCGATTGGCTGCTCTTGGAGCTGACGGCCCCAAATTAGGCCCCAAATCTTACATTGCGAATGGAATGCGAGAGGAGCTTAGACGTGGCGATTCAGTAACAAGATTTCACTGCGACATGACTGATGCGGTAAGCTAGGTGTAACGAGGATGCACAGTGATGTTCAGAGTGCATTACCCTGTCGCTGTTTTGTTATTTGTGTTGGTCAGGTGGCTTTTCGTCCAATTTCAAGATATGCAATGAGAGTCATTGGTGATTTCGCATTGATTTTGTTGAGTTTGGACAGGTCAATGTGCTCTCTCATGCATGCGAAGCAATATTCAAGCCCTATGTGAGACAAAAAATAAAGAAACTTTGTACCATTTATCGAGGGACTGTCAATGAGCAAGAAGTTGAAGCACTCGCTAGGAAGGTCTCTGCGAAATTGAGAAATGTTGATAGGGACATAGCGATTGCAGATGGAAACATCTGTACACATGCATGGGTCAGGTTGTAAGGCGTGGTGGGTGGGTCACACTTTCTCCGAATAAGGTGCACACATTGAAGGGTGGAACACTGCGGCCAGTTTGCTGGGGAGGATGTTGTGCGAAACCGCTGAGCAGCGGTTCGGACATGGGGCGACACAAGAGCGCGGGTTTTCGTGATCCGCCAGGTAGTCTCCTGCAAACATCAAGCAAGCTTGAGAGGGCGTGGCGATTTGTTCATAGGGCACGGTCGACGGGCGGTAGTAGTCTCGTGACGCAAACTCGAGGACATCGGCGGCAGCGGATTAGGATTAGGAAGTCATCTGCTTCCACATCCGTTGTAGTTTAGATGGTTAGGAAGTGGAGAGGCGGAGCGGAGGTGGAGCGGAAGCAATGGCTGCGACGTGATTGCGAATAGGTTTAGCTTAGCAGCGCACAATCTTCTCTTAATGTAGTATTAGCAGCTAGTTACGAATATCAAGTTTACAGAACTAGGTCTTGACTACACCCCTGCCTCATACAATCAATGTGCAATAACCATTTTTGCGTGAACATGAGGCACCAATGTCAATAGCCAAGGGCACTGCTTCCTCGATGACGGAGCACTGCCCCCATACTAGTCACACCTCACCAATCCGAAAAAAGCGAGAGTACCCTTTTTTGATTGGTATGGAGTAGAGTGTAATATTACTGGCCAGACGCCCGTGCAACCTGCTCCCTAACATATCAGGGATAATACAGCCCAGTCGACATGCAATACTGACTTATGATAGGTGACGTTTTCTACCGAGGAACTTCTCATTATTGATGCGATTTGTGAACAAACAGCGCAACTCACGGTTGTAGGATTTATTCCCAACAAAAGTCCAAGACAAGCTACATTCAAAGAATGGGCATTCTCAACCTTATATAGTTCGATCCAGTCTTGCTCCATCACAAGGGAAAGCTTTTTTTAAATCACTTTTACCTTTCTAGAGGAGGTACAACATGCCCTCCGATCGACCTATAGATTTGAGAGAAGAGAGATTCCCTTTACTACATGGAGTCCACACTATTTTGCAACCAATCCAGAAACCTGTAAATTCCTAAACTACATGGTGTGGATTCAATTCTAGGATTCAGCCAATATCTTAGACATGAATAATGTCTAAAGATTATAGCATCTAAGCTCAGCCAAGTATTATTTGTCGAGGAAGAGTCTTTGTGCACATGCAAGACTACATACCCTAGGATTAAGATAATTATTAATGACATTATTTCAAAAGTATTGGATAAGATTAGTATTCCAAGTCCAATCCTAAATACACCACTCTACCACAAAGTTTTAGTGTCTAGATGCTCCAATCAATGCACGAAGTGTAGAGGCATAGGCTACATATCCATAGAATGTAAAAGGCCTTACTTACAATAAACAATAGAAAGAAATAGAAGATAGCAATAGTGATATGACTTAGACTATTATAGAATCAACCAATAAATAGTCGATCTAAACATCAATAAGTAAGAAGATGGAATAACTGAGCATATCACCTTTGTTACACCCCATCAAAACATAATCCTTCTCTCTTTCTTCCTAATAATGAAACAATTATTATCAATAGAACAAAATTTAACTACCCCACTGCTTGGCCACTTACCAAATAAGTTAGATAAGAGGTTGGAGATAGTTCCTTGTACACCACAATCTCCAAGGTTGAAGTCAATAGTATCATAAGATGGAGCCTTACCATCATCAAAGGATATAGTTTCTTATTCTATGCCATCAGCAATATCAGTCAAGCTACAAAAAAACACCATATATTGATCCATATAAGGATCAAGGAAGAATCTTCAAGATACTACAATGGCTAATAAAGCATCCTCTCCTCACTCATTATTTTAATAGAATAAATTCTTTTTAGAAATACCACAATAAATAATATAATAAACACAAATTAGTGACTCTACTTTGCTTTCTTACAACAAATAATTTTTTTAGTTCATATGGAGGAAAAGAAGAGCAATGAACATACAAAATCAACCAAAGAGCCTCAACTTGGGCTCCATAGATCTAAACAATAATAAAAAAGAGCATCATACTTTACTACTATCAATCCTTTTCTGCATGTAATTCTCCTAATTCTAGCCATCAATGCCCAAATCTATAGACATAGAGTATTTTTATTATTATTTATTACTTTAAAAAGCTCATATTACTTCAACATATTAGTATGGCTTAGCATGATTGATAAATAACATGTGACATATTGCCAAGTTACTGTAGTGAAAGAACAAATTGCATGGTCATCCAAACATGACTAAATATTTATTTTCAATGAAATGGCACAAACCCTCTTTGTGGTTATTGTAAATATCTACAATAATAAGAATCCCTTTTGGAGATGGATAGATGCAATATAGGACTAAAAATAAAAAAAAAAGAAAAGATAGAAGCAGCCATTACATTTGTATAACATTTATATAAGTCCTTCTTTTGGATATTAAGCTCTAGAAATCATACAGACATCTTTAGATTCTATTAGCTCCATCTCTTTGCAACTTTTTTTCTATGAAGTTTCTAGAAGCAATTCATTTTCCTTTCAACCTTAGTAGCTAAATCTATATAAGAACTATTAGATATGAGATAATTTGGCTCAAATCTTTCACCAAAGAGATTTAAATGAAAGATACTAAATCCACCTTCTTTACAAATAAGACATATCTTAAGCTACAAAGTTAATGATTTAGAAGAAGAAGAGCACAAAACTCTCACTATGACATCATGTATCAAACTAAAATGACTATACATAATATTGTGTTGGCTTCAATGAATGTGCAATCTCTTCAACATGGCATTTAGGGGGCAAAGAAAAGAATAGAGATTATGAACTTCTTCCAAAAAAAAAAAAAAACCACAACTTAAAATTATTCTTCTACAGAAACATCACTATGACATAGATGAATGCATGCATCAAATCAATCAATTCCAATTCGAAGAAGAATCCATTATCTAGACTAATGAAACATATACAACAAATAAAGGACGATTCTCTAAAAGCATAGCAATTTTTGTCTTTTATACTTTAGTTCTAAAAATAGTTTCTTGTGAGATAATTATAGAATGAAGAATCTAATATATTATCCTAGATATAAATGGCCAATATATAAAAATAATCAACGAATATGCTTCAAACATAATAGGATAAAGAACTCAACTATAGAATATATCTTTATAACATCTTTTTCATTTTATATCCTAGATCATAGTAGGAGATTTTAATATGATAGAATTTCTAAAAGATAGAAGTAATGGCTTCAAGCATAAGATTATGAGAAGATAAGAATAATTAGCATGGACAAACTTTGTTATTAGATTAGAAATCATGGATACATCATACATTAATTCATTTGAATGTATATAATTTTTTTTTATATATATAGAAGTGACAAAATTCTATGCTATGGTAGTTAAGAATTGATTGATTCTATATCAACGAAGATCTATATTATTGCAGAGATACTTATAATATATAGCCATATTTTTCATACCTTTTAGACCATGTAGCAAATTTCTATCAAAAATATATATATTTATTCTAATAAGTACTTATATAATTAAATAGAAGTAGATGAAAGTAAATTAATTTTATAATATCTTCTAAATAAGCTTCTTAGAAGCTTCATGGATATAGTTTTGACTTTATATGTATTTGTAGTTAATTAGTAGGTTAGAAACTTCATGAACAAATTAATCACATGTCATACATGTAAGTAACTTGTCGAAAAAAGCTAACTATATAATGCACCTATAAGACACTTATCATACAGGTTAAGATATTTCTTGCATAGTCAACATGTATTAGAGGTCTTACAGAATATTGCTACATAGCTCTTAGTTAAATAAAATATACAGAGGCAAGAGTGAAGCCTTCTTCACTCTTAACAATGCCTTTCTATTCTTTGGTCTCGTTTCAAGACTTTCTAATCTTCTTGTCTTTAGCAATAGCTATTCTAGTTTAATATTATATCATCTTTTAGTGATTATACAGTCTTTTTTAGTGACACAAAGATATCTTGATCTTTCAATTCTTCAAGATTTATATCCTTGATAATTTAAAAAGAGTGCTTATTTATTATTCTTGTCTTATTTTAAAAGTAAATGGATTACTTTACTTTTATGGTTATATTTTGAAGATTGAGGACTACTCATTTTTAAACAAAGAGTTTGGTTTCTAACACTCATTTTTTTTAAAAATAAAATAAAATACCTTCTTTGTAAAAAATTTCATTTGATATTAGAAGTTGCAGATTACTTTCTTTTAATTAAATTTTAATTTTTTTTTTGAATTGTCTATCAAAGAAAAAGTTATGGATGCTACTCTCTTTGACTTCTTTCATAGGCATAGAAATAGTGAATTATGGAGGTACTATTTCTATGCCTATGAAAGATGCAAAGATACATGTATTTAAGAAGTTTGATGGAACAAGATCAAAGTTTTGAGGATTTTTACAACAAATAAAGCTCTATTTAATGTTGCATCCTTCTTAATACCTTTGATGGATTTACTCAAATTGGATTTATAGGAGCATTTTTTTTTCTAGGAGTACTCTTTTTTGATTTGCACCTTTGATAGAAAAAGTTTTATAACTACTCTATGATTTGAATTCATTCTTAGAAATGTTCATGGCCACATTTAAAAAAAGTGATTAAGAAAGGGCAGTAGAAACTAAGCTTGTATTTATATAACAAGGATCACTTTCAGCCACCACATGTACTATTGTATTTCAAAATTAGAATGATGAAGCTCTTATCAATTAATTTGGATATTGATTGAAAGATAATTTGAAAGATTTATAGTTGACAATATCAAAAATAGATTCATTGAAGTAATTTATTACTCAAGCAATTACATGCAATAATTAAATTTTTTGAAAGATGTCAAGAATAAAGATTTGGTTGAAGAAATACAAGTTAAGCCATAGCAACATCTCTAAATTTTTGAAAGCTTATTCGTCTAGGCTAGAGCCTATGCAAATTAACATGATACGTTTTAAATTTCTTATCAAGCAAAAAAAGATTTATTGTTGTTAAGAAGGTTTATACCTATATTATAGAAAATCCAAGCATACTATTTAATATTATCCAAAAAAACAGCGTAATTACAAAATAATGAGCAAGATTGCCAAAAATGATGATGTGTTGGAAAACAAATTTCTCTAACTATAATAGAGACTGTGCAGCTAAAATCTTCCATAATATTCAATAAAAGTCATATTTTCTCTTTAGATCTTTTATCTTGTTTCATAATAGAAATTTTTATAAAATCAAAAAATTATAAAATTTTAGTCTTATTAGATTCTAGAGCACAAACTTATTTTATAAATGAAGATTTTGTCAAAAACCAAGAAATATCCTTAATTAAAAAAATTAAACTTGTACATGTAGAAATAATAGATGGTTGTTTGTTGTCTTCTAAAATGTTAAATATAAAACTTTTTCTTTAAATGTAGCAACTAGTAGTCATAATAATTTAGTGATATTTAATATGATTAAATCTCCTTCTAATCCAATTATTTTAAGATTATCATGACTAAAAAAATTTAACCTTCAAATAGATTGGATTTTTTATAACTTTGATTTTTTTAATAATTTTGCTGAAGATTCTACTAAAGAGGTAGAATTCTATAAGATCAATACATCAAAACTATTATTAATAGGTACAAAAGCTTTCATACATGCTATAAAAATAAGATTAATTTT